CCGTTTTCGATATCTGGTGGAATCGGCGGTCTCTTCCCCATTTCTGGAAAAGAGTATAACGCGCGGTTTGCTCGTTAGCTTTTTGGTTGTAATCTGAGGATTAGATTGGATCTTCCGGTAAATTTGGAGAAAATGTGAAGCTGAGAGAGAGATTCGGACAAACTTGTGGCCAAAGTAAGGGTTTTTACTTTTTAGTCTTTCTCTCTGTTTTTTCCTTAATTACATTAGGCAGTTATGTTCGGTAAATTTGTTTTGTCCTAATCACACGGATTCTAATCAAAACCAGGTTGGAGATAGAAAATTTTCAAACTAAATTATTATTTATTTTATTTTACTAAAAATTCCACATAAAATTCATATAATTTAGTACTAATTTACTAAACAAAAAGATCAATTTTTGGTTATAGATTAAAAAGCATTTTTGAGAGTGAGTTTAGTATCATTGTTTATCGGTTAATCACTGTGATTAAGACACGTATTAGAAGTTAATGTCTTAAACTCGTTTAGTATTTGCTTTAATCTTCTATTAATATCACAGAAATGTTCAACAAACTCCACACACAAAAGTAGCTTCCTTCTCGGATCAAAATCTTGATTTTCTTACTAAACAGTTTTCTCTCATCTCTCTGATCAATCTTCTGATTCGCAGGTAATACGCTTCTCGATCCATTTCTTTTGCCTTTTCTTCATCTTATCGGATCAAATGCATGAGGGAAGCTAATATGTTACAATTGTTATGATGTTTTACAGGTCGAAAAACAAAAGAAATGGAAGAGTTTTTGTTACACGGAAGATTACACGCTACAATCTATGAAGTTGATCGTCTCCATTTGGAAGGAGGCAGATCAGGTTTCTTAGGAAAGGTATTATCTTTTGTCTAAGTTTTTAAGATGCAGAAACTTTTTCCTTCAATGTTCTGTATTTAAATATTTTCAGATGCTAGCGAATGTAGAAGAAACAATCGGTGTTGGTAAAGGAGAAACTCAGCTTTACGCTACAATCGATCTAGAGAAAGCGAGAGTTGGAAGAACGAGGAAGATAACAAATGAACCAAAAAATCCAAAGTGGTATGAATCTTTTCATATTTACTGCGGTCACATGGCTAAGCATGTTATTTTCACTGTTAAAGACGATAATCCGATTGGCGCGACTTTGATTGGAAGAGCTTATGTTCCTGTTGAAGATATATTCCATGGAGAAGAAGTTGATAGATGGGTTGAGATATTAGATACTGAGAAAAATCCCATTGCTGGTGGATCAAAGATCCATGTGAAACTTCAGTATTTCGGTGTTGAAAAAGATCGAAATTGGAATCGAGGTATCAAAAGTGCTAAATTTCCAGGTGTTCCTTACACATTCTTCTCTCAGAGAAGAGGATGCAAAGTTTCTCTGTATCAAGATGCTCATATTCCTGAAAGCTTTGTCCCGAAAATCCCTCTCGCGGGAGGGAAAAACAACGAGCCAAGTCGATGTTGGGAAGATATATTCGATGCAATTACTAACGCGAAACACTTGATTTACATTACTGGTTGGTCTGTTTACACTGAGATTTCTTTGGTGAGGGACTCGAGGAGGCCGAAACAAGGAGGAGATGTGACGGTTGGCGAGCTACTCAAGAAGAAAGCTAGTGAAGGTGTTAAGGTTATTTTGCTTGTTTGGGACGATAGAACATCGGTTGATTTGCTTAAAAAGGATGGACTTATGGCTACTCATGATGAAGAAACAGAGAATTTCTTCAGAGGAACAGACGTGAACTGCGTTTTGTGTCCTCGTAATCCTGATGATGGTGGAAGCATTGTCCAAAACTTACAAGTCTCTACTATGTTCACTCATCACCAAAAGATTGTTGTTGTAGATAGCGAAATGCCGAGAGGAGGATCAAGTTCAAGATCAAGAAGAATTGTGAGTTTTGTTGGTGGTCTTGATCTTTGTGATGGAAGATATGACACTCCATTTCATTCATTGTTTAGAACATTGGACACTGCGCATCACGACGATTTCCATCAACCGAATTTCACTGGCGCAGCGATTACCAAAGGTGGTCCTAGAGAGCCATGGCATGACATTCATTGTCGTCTTGAAGGACCTATTGCTTGGGATGTCTTGTACAATTTTGAGCAGAGATGGAGTAGACAAGGCGGTAAAGATATTTTGGTTAAAATAAGAGATCTCGACGATATCATCATCCCGCCTTCTCCTGTTCTATACTTAGAGGATCACGACTCGTGGAATGTTCAGTTGTTTAGATCCATTGATGGTGGAGCAGCTGCTGCATTTCCTGAATCCCCTGAAGCTGCAGCGGAAGCAGGTCTTGTGAGTGGTAAAGATAACATAATTGATAGGAGTATTCAAGATGCTTACATTCACGCGATTAGACGAGCCAAAGATTTCATCTATATCGAAAATCAGTACTTCCTCGGAAGCTCTTTTGCTTGGGGAGCAGATGGAATCAAACCCGAGGATATCAATGCACTGCATTTGATTCCAAAGGAGTTATCTTTGAAGATTGTTAGCAAGATCAAAGCGGGAGAGAGGTTTAGAGTTTATGTCGTTGTTCCGATGTGGCCTGAAGGGATTCCTGAGAGTGGATCAGTCCAAGCTATATTAGATTGGCAGAGAAGAACAATGGAGATGATGTACAAAGATATTATCAAGGCACTTAGAGAAAAAGGACTCGAGGGAGAGGATCCGCGAGATTATCTAACATTCTTCTGTCTCGGAAATCGAGAGGTCAAGAAAGATGGAGAGTATGAGCCTACAGAGAAACCTGAACCGGACACTGACTATATCCGAGCACAAGAAGCACGCCGCTTCATGATCTATGTTCACACTAAAATGATGATAGGTGAGTGTTTAAACACTTTCAGAATTTATAATTTTCAATGTTACCTAAATGATTCGACCGTTAATTTTCGCAGTTGACGATGAGTACATTATAATCGGATCAGCAAATATCAACCAGAGGTCAATGGATGGTGCAAGAGACTCAGAGATAGCAATGGGAGGCTATCAACCATATCATCTCTCAATAAGACAACCAGCTCGAGGTCAAATCCACGGATTCCGCATGTCTTTATGGTACGAACATTTAGGAATGCTCGATGAAACCTTCCTCGATCCATCGAGCCAAGAATGTATCAAGAAAGTTAACCGTATTGCTGATAAGTATTGGGATCTTTACTCAAGTGAGTCACTAGAGCATGAGCTTCCCGGTCATTTACTTCGCTACCCGATTGGTATTGCTAGTGAAGGAGACATCACTCAGATTCCTGGATTCGAATTCTTTCCCGACACAAAAGCCCGTATCCTCGGCATGAAATCTGATTACATGCCACCAATTCTTACAACCTAAGCTCTATGGCAGTTTCTAAAGGTAATAAATAACATCCTCTCCATTTTCTTCTGCTGCAATAACTTATAAAACCAATAGCTTCATTCTCTTTAGTAACTAATAAGTTTGGTTTTTTGTTTTTTTCATTCGGACACTAAAGATTTGGAGAGAATATTGCCTTTTTGATACTTTTT